TTATAATACAATGTTGCACTATCAGCGAGAGAATATATCTATAAACATGTACAAGGAAAATCAGCATATGAATGCAATAACATATATATATCAGTATAAATGTTCCTTGATACACAACAATGATCAATCGATCACTCTATCAGTCCTAGAACACATACATCTGAAGGTAATCCAGCCTACGACTGTAACTCTAAACTTCAGTATAAAACACTCCTTGACATAAGAATGCAAACAATCACTCACCTCTCACTGCGTCTTGCATGCTAATGACAACCAAACACTATCAACTCCCTACAAGTAATCCACCAGAACTTCCCTTCCACCTTTGGAAGTTCACTACCCTGATATCTTTAGGTTCTTCCGGGCTTAACTACCAGGATCCTCTGCAGCTCCTCCAGGCTGCTACCATGAAGTTTCCTTGAGTAACTACGGTGATTTACCCTTCTGCTAGGTTCCTCCACAGCTCTCTGGGCTGGTACACCTCGAGCAACTATGGTGCTTCACCACCTCTACAGAAGCATGTGACACTCCTCTTCACTGCTTCTCCTCACCGCTCGAGGTCCTCTCCTCCACTACCTTGGAGTCTCATCAATTACTTCATCTGTGCTGGCTTCGAAGTTCTCAGCAACTTCTTTCCCAAAGACAAACCTGCAACCCATCGACACTCCAATAAAAATGTTTCCCCTCTAACACATAAACAAAAATAATCACACAATATGTTTGCCTCCAACCTCTATCTGTCCTCTACATACTGTGAGAGTGGACTACCCAGTTGGGTGGGTCCATGCTCCACCTCGCCCGGCGGGCCTCCACACACTCCTCCACCGCCCCTCAGTCAGTTGGCTCCAAGCGGTGGAAGGGAGAGGACGCGCTGCTCGCCCCTCCAGCTGTCTCTCTCATCTCTGTCCTCTTATTTAGGCTTCCTGCCTTACCAAAACATTTCTAACTCATCAATAAACATTGCTACTGTCGCTGGGCACACGACCAACTACAAGCAATCACTATGAACTGGTTTAAATCGTGCTTACCACAGATTGTCTCGTCGAGGGCCCTCCTCCCTCTGACAGAGCTTGGTCAGGGCGCTTCCACGGCCCACAATAATGCCTCTGGGCGGTTTAATAAACACTCCTCGTCGCTCAGGACTTGAGACCACACTTCCCCAGCTCGATTCCACAGCTGGTACGTCTGCACACATCTCTTCTCTTGGAGATATATCACTAGGGGTTCCTTCCTGACGGGAGCTCAACGGAGCACGGCTTTCTCCAGCGATGTCTGGCCTCAAGTGAGGTCAAAGCCCTCCAGAAGCGAGCATCACACCTCCAGCAAAATATCCACATCTCCTAACCAGTCATTCATCTGTTTTCTTCTTCACTGCCCATAATCTCAAATTGTTATTTAAATCCAACAAACTATTTTACAACTGTGTTATCGCCTCTGTATTTCCTATACCTTCTAGTTAGGTCAGGCTGGTTGAATAACTCTCAAGGGGAAGACTCGTTTCTCCTGTAGGCTGAGATCATAACAGTACCTGACTCCAGTACCTCGAGAAAGAGGAGGAGGAGTACCATACCTGCCGGGTGTGAGGACGGCGAGGACACGCTACTACAAGGATGACTGAGGAACTTGTGTGTGTGTGGGAACTGATCAACGGAAGACCAGGAACCTCATCATCCCTTGCCAGAGTCGGCATCGTAATGGAATGAAGTAAGGTAGATAATTATCCCTTCCTTTACCCCTTTGATCTAGGCGAGCTAGGATATTTTTTTTTTTTTTTTTTTGAGATATATACAAGAGTTGTTACATTCTTGTACAGCCACTAGTACGCGTAGCGTTTTGGGCAGGTCCCTGGAATACGATCCCCGCCGCGAAGAATCGTTGTTACAACCAAGTACACATTTTACTGTTGCGTTAAACAGAGGCTACAGTTAAGGAATTGCGCCCAGTAAATCCTCCCCGGCCAGGATACGAACCCATGACATAGCGCTCGCGGAACGCCAGGCTAGTGTCTTACCATTACACCACGGAGACTGTAACCTGTATTCACGACATATTCTGTATGTTGTGAACATTTCTTGTTATCATTTATTGTCTATGTGATAGCATTAGGCTAGGAGCCAAGGAGCGCATGTAGGCATGAATTGGTGGTGGAACATGAATATGTAGATGCGGTGACGTTAGTGTATCTGGGAATAGTAACTGGTTTTCAAGAAGCCAGAAACGAATTTTGAATCGTCCAGCTGACCGTGTTGTCAGTGGGGCGAGGTGTGTTCCCGCCGATCTGACAGTTGGACCTAGTCAGCTGATAGTGATGCCAGAGGCGTGAGGTGTGTCCCCGCCGGTTTCACAGTTGGACCCAGCCAGCTGATCGTGTTGCCAAAGACGCGACGAGAGAAGGTTACCAATGTGTTTGAGTGAGCTTCCATTTTCTAGGGCTATTTTGAGTTTGACCATTTATGTCACTTTGCACGGGTCTTCGCCCTTCCAGGTATGGAGGGGCGAAGACCCGTGGGAGCGACCTCCAACCATATAAGGTAGGAGGGGGGGGGAGAACTTTCACAGTGGCGACCTTGCCAGGATCATCGAACAACAGTGTGACAAACGTTTGCAAGTGCAGTGATGAGTGTACTAAGGTCGACATTGGTCTCGGTTTACACTGCTCGCTAGTGTATTCCCTTGCATACGGTGACTCAATAGCCTAGAGATGGAGGATGATAGAGTGAAAAAGTTTATTGAGTCGAGGGACGAGCAGGTGCTGGAAGAGTGTACCAAGGCCCAGCTGCAGCTGGTGGCGGACCACTTTGGTTTGAGGTTGAGGTCTTCCAAGGTGGCGGAGCGGCGGATTTGTGATGTCTTGTACACGGGTTACCAAATCCAGACCGAGTGCACGGCCACTTACGTGCCTGGGTGCACAGCAGCGCTCGTCCACCCAGGCTGCTGTGCACCCCTCACTCTAGTAGAAGCTAGTAGAAGCTTTAGCTGGTGAAAACCCATACCTTCACACTCTTCCCCACCTACATAGACTTGTTCAGCTGAAGGCACAACGTTCAGTTCCTCTTTAGTAAATACAGAGATAAAATATTTATTAAAAATACTACTCATCTCTGCATTATTATCAATTATCTGACCTTTCTCAGTTTTAATGGACCTATACTTTCCCTAATCTTTGTTCGATATTACTGACAGAACCCCTTTAGGATTTGTCTTTGATTGCCCTGCTATGCGAATTTCATAGTTTATTTTTGTCCTAATCTCTTTTTAACATTTCTAACCAGTTGGACGAATTCTTATTCTGAACTGACTTCCGCATTCTTAATCGTTTTGTACCACGCTCTCTTTCTACCTATAAGGTTCTTCAGATCCTTTGTTATCCACTTCGGATTATTATTATTTGATCTATTCAATTTGTATGCTTCCTGTGCTTTGGTTAGAATATTTTTAATAAGTTATGTTTTGAATCCACTTTAAATGTTCTTATGTTCTTATATATATACATGCACACACACATACACACACGTTAGGAATATATCGAGGTCCCCCCCTAAGATCGAACTAAAGACATTCCAAAGGATGGAACCCCATAGACTGACTATCTCCTGGGATACCTATTTACTGTCAGGTGAACAGGGGCATTAGGTGATAGGAAATGTGCTCAATCATTTCTCTCTCGCCCGGGATTCGAACCAGAATTCCCGATTGTGAGTCGAGAACGAACCCAAATGTATTACTGAGGCCTTTAATGAATCAGGTTACTAGTTAAATAGTTTACGTGCCGGGGGGGGGGGGGGGGGAATGTTACAGCATTAGTTAGACATATATTGTGTGAGTGAGGGCGGGCATTGCACTGGCTGCCTGGTATTGGGCACCTGTCCTGCAACCCGTCCTCACACTGGTCTGTTTAAAGCAGCGGCCGTCCTCCACAGACTCGATATCAACATTAATCCAACGACAGCAGCTGCATTAGATGCACATTCCACAACCACTGCAATGATTAGAAAAGCCGTTAAAGAATGGGACACACTAATGAACATTCTGCACCTACATCCGCCACAAAGATAATGTTATTAAAACAAGACTAAAACAGAAGCGAAAAAGAAACGGAGAAAAAGGAGGAAACCCCACCTCCATTTAATACTTTTACCCAAATATCAGAGTAACAAGGTTATCGCGAATAACCGAACTCAATTACGGGCTCACCATAGCCCGTGCTACATGGACATTTCGTTCTGAGTAGCTAAAACAACATCATCATCCCCAGACTCATTCATCCATTTTAGCATACTGTGTATTAAAAACTGGTTAGTCCTCATATAAAAATTAATATTATACATACAAATTTTATGTATGGCTAGGCATAGGTTAGGTGTTTAGGTTCCGTCGGCGATTATTTGTTTTTGAAATACATGGGTGGAGCATTTATAGAATTGTGATTCAAACAGATGACGTGAATGAAGCACTTGTTCCGGAAGTGTTCGGACGTCATCAGTTGAGAATCGTGTGTAAACCGCTTTTCATTCATAAACCGGGGGGGGGGGGGGTTCGGCGGCTGGATTAACGAGCTTGGATCTTTGTATGCGAGGACGGGCTGCCTTCTGCAGCTTCCACCGTTCGTATGTTCATGTGTGTATGTGTCCATGAAGCACAGCTCAAAGCTTTCTATTACTGGGGAACTTATTCATGGTTTATATTTAAATTGCTTAGCAATTACCGACAGATTTTTTCAAATACTTTTGAGATGTTTCAACTTAAACACACATTAACACCTTAACAATTTCAATATCTTCAATATTAACATAAAGGTATTTGTGCCCCCTTTATAATGAGTCCTCTATTCCTCTTTCTCTCTATATATATTATTTAATTTTTTATTTCATTTCACCTTTTTATTTTGTTACATTCATTTTAATAAAAAAATCAGACCAAAATGGAGATACAAGTGGCTTACAATGATGAGTTTAGAATAACATTATAATAAATTTTAACACCACAAATACGTCTAGTACCTGAGGGCATAAGACCTTTAATGCGGGAGTTTGTTTCATTTTCGACATCGGCATTTATCTGCTGCCGCACCTGTTCCCCTTCAGCAAAGTTTACAGCCTTGGAGGAGCTAAGGTACTTTTCTTGTAGGGTCTTGGCAAAGCCACTCAACACAGGCATTCTATCAGCAACATAGACCAAGTTGGATGTCCTAAGCTCATAGTCAGCTACATCAGCCTGTAATGAAATGTTAAAATGCTTAGAAAATATCCTTCCTGCTTCTCAAGTCTCAAATTATTATTAAACCCAAAGAAAATCTTCTCATTATGATATGCGTTTTTACAACCGTTTTATATTCCAAATACTGTTGGTAGACAGCTTGTTTGTGTGAGTCAGGCAGTATGTTGGCTACCAGTGACGCAGGCAAAACAAAGACTGTTCCAATGCAAGACTTTCATGTATACAAATATTCTCAAGTCTCCCGTGCTGACACACCGCAAAATATTACAAGCAAAAAATTATGAAATATTTTTAATAATACAAAGAACTGGATATTTTTCATGGCAGCAAATGGAGGAAGGTATTTCCAGACACCTCACAACACGTGCACTCTCGATACTCTTAGCATAAGTAATGATCCCAGTTTGCACACTCATTTATATATGGACACACACACGGAGGAAGGAAATAATGAGTGTGGGTATGCAACCCGTTCTCGCACTTGCATACAGTCAATATTGGCTTATTTAATAAGTGCATATGTGACATACTAATTGATTGTGAATATTTTAGTTTACCTTGAAAAGCTTCATAGAAAACACCGACCTCACCTAACCTTCTTAGTATGTTAAGATAAGCATTTTATTGCTTCTTATTTACAATTATTACTTAACCTATCAACGGTATAGGTTAAGTAATAATTGTAATTAAGAAGCAATAAGATGCTTATCTTAACATACTAAGAATGTTAGGTGAGGTCGGTGTTTTCTATGAAGCTTTTCAAGGTAAACTAAAATATTTACAATAAATTAGTATGTCACATATGCACTTATTAAATAAGCCAATATTGACTATAAGCAAGTGCGAGAACGGGTTGCAGTCCATTCTCTAACATTTTCAGCGCCAGCACAGCAGTCCTCACTTAAATTATACCTATCCGGCCTGCAGTCCCCAAACAAAATATATCTACACAGCCCATAGTCCCCACGTGAAATTTACCCATATTTACATATTTAAATTTACCTAATAATTAATTAAAATTTACAATATTTATATTTAAAATAATTTACAATATTTACAATTTTAACAATATTAATAATTTAAAATATTTACTATTATTTACAATACTAAACAATAATTAAATTTACATATTTACCAGGCCCACAGCTTCCACATGAAATAACATATCTACCTGGCTCGTATGAAAAAATACTCATGTAAAATATCATAACTACCCGAACCGACCATAACTTAGATTTTCAAAGGTCTCAGTTGACATGGACTTGAAATCCACCATATACAGCAGGTATGTTGATGACATTTTTACGCAGGTACCGGGGAGCCGGTCGGCCGAGCGGACAGCACGCTGGACTTGTGATCCTGTGGTCCTGGGTTCGATCCCAGGCGCCGGCGAGAAACAATGGGCAGAGTTTCTTTCACCCTATGCCCCTGTTACCTAGCAGTAAAATAGGTACCTGGGTGTTAGTCAGCTGTAACGGGCTGCTTCCTGGGGGTGGAGGCCTGGTCAAGGACCGGGCCGCGGGGACACTAAAAAAAAAAGCCCCGAAATCATCTCAAGATAACCTCAAGATATACCTGATATCAGACATCTGCAGCTGCTGAAGGATGCATTTGAGCGGAATTCTGTGTTGAGTATCACTTACGAGATGGAGAATGATGGGAGGCTGCCCTTTCTAGATGTAACAGTCACGGAAAGGAGCGGAGGCTTCCACACTGCAGTCTACACTAAGGAAAGAAACAGGAATGTGCCTCTATGCCAATAGTGACTGCCCAGACAGGTACAAGAGGAGTGTCATCAACACTTACATCGACCGGGCTCTCAGTCATAGCTCAGAATGTAAGCAAGCCGATGAAGAACTCTGTAGGGTAAAGCCGGTCCTAGTCAACAACGGCTTCTCTAACGGTTTTGTTGAAGACATCATAAAGAGAAAGGTGAAATGCCATGCAACCTTTGAAGAGTCAACCAACACAACACTTGTACCCCTTGTTAGACTATTTTACAGGAACTTCTTTTCGACGGCTCATAAAACTGAGGAAAGGGTCCTGAAAAATATTGTTGATAGGAACGTTATCCCTACAGACAAAAATCAGAAAATACAACTAACAGTTTACTATAAAACCAAGAAAACAGCCAACTACTCTTGAAAAACTCTCCAGACACCAAACAGAACGCTTTTAAGGAAACCAACGTCGTCTATGCCTTCAAATGCCCACTTGGGGACTGTAAGCCCCAAAGAACTCAGTATATAGGCAAGACAACAACGCCTCTTTCCAGGCGATTAACAATGCATAAACAACATGGCACCATCAAGGATCATATAATCTCTTCTCACAACCAGACCATCACCAGAGAAATCTTAACAAATAACACAGAAATCATCGATAGATACAACGATAGCAGGAGGCTCGACATCAGCGAAGCACTACACATCAAAAAATCAACACCAGCAATCAATAGCCAATTAATGCACAACTATATTCTACCCACTTCAAGACCCCGAACCAATATTGAAGCAGCAAGAGGAAGTATGGGCCAATAGGACTTCTGCAGCAACATCCATACTTATGTTCTCATACCAATTGTTTCATGTTCTGTCTTCTGTTTGTCACCTCACCCTAAACTTTTGTCCCATATCACTTCACCCAAAGCGAGTATAAGTATGAATGTATTTTGTGTGTAAACTAAGTCTTTGAAAATGTAATAAGGAATTACGAAATGCGTTCAGAAGTTAGACAATAAATAAAATTGAATTGTGGAGAATTGATATTTCATTTACCATTGACGGTAAAGAAAACTTAAGAAATATTGAGAAAATTCGTGTTAGAATTATTAATCTTACGTTTTCGGTCATATTCAACACCATATGTTTACAAGAAAGACTACTATCAAAATATATATATATATATATATATATATATATATATATATATATATATATATATATATATATATATATATATATATATATATGACAATGTCAGACCACGGAGGAAAAATGAAACAGGAATTTCCTTAAGTACTTTCGTATATTAAATACATCTTCAGAAGGTCATATTTAATATACGAAAGTACTTAAGGAAATTCCTGTTTCATTTTTTCTCCGTGGTCTGACATTGTCACATTCTTAATCACGTGTTTATTTTCGTGATATACATATATATATATATATATATATATATATATATATATATATATATATATATATATATATATATATATATATATATATATATATATATTATTAAATATGACCGAAAAAGTAAGATTAATAATTCTAACACGAATTTTCTCTATCTTTCGTACATTTCTTTTCACTGTTGGTGGTAATTCAAAAATCAATTCTCCAAAATTCATTTTTATTTCTAGTCTGACACGACACTTGAGCGCGTTTCATAAAACTTATTACATTTTCAAAGACTTTAGTTTACACATACACAACTGAATAGAACTTACACATCTCCGATTTGTTTATATCTACATTTGAGTGAGGTGGATGAGGTGAGGTGGCATTAATAGGGTACCATGGTATAGGGTATTAATAGGTGGCTACATGGGTACCATCGAGCAAAAAGTCTTAGTCGACATGAACTTGAAACCGGCCATATACTGCAGGTATGTTGACGACATTTTTACACAGGTACCTGATGTCAGACATCTGCAGGAGCTGAAGGAGGCGTTTGAGCAGAGTTCCGTGCTGCGTTTCACTTACGAGATGGAAAAGGATGGGAAGCTGCCCTTTCTAGATGTAACAGTCATGGAAAAGAGCGGAGGTTTCCACACTGCAGTCTACACTAAGGAAACGAACATAGGAATGTGCCTAAATGCCAACAGCGACTGCCCAGACAGGTACAAAAGGAGTGTTGTTAACGCATATGTCGACCGTGACCTCAGCCACAGCTCAGAATGGAAGCAAGTCGACGAAGAACTCTGTAGGGTAAGGCAGGTCCTAGTCAACAACGGCTTCTCCAATGGTTTCGTCGAAGACATCATAAGAAGGAAAGTGAAACGCCATGCAACCTCTGAAGAGACAACTAACACAACACCTATACCCCCTACTAGACTATTTTACAGGAACTTCTTTTCCACAGCTCATAAAACGGAGGAAAGGGTCCTGAAAGATATTGTTAATAGAAACGTTATCCCTACAGACAAAAATCAGAGAATACAACTGACGATTTACTATAAAACCAGAAAAACGGCCATCCTACTCATGAGAAACTCTCCAGACACAAAGCAGAACGCTTTAAAAGAGACCAACGTCGTCTATGCCTTCAAATGCCCTCTTGGGGACTGTAAGCTCAAAAAAAACCAGTATATAGGCAAGACAACAACATCTCTTTCTAGGCGTTTAACGATGCATAAGCAACAGGGCTCCATTAAGGAACATATAATCTCTTCCCACAACCAAACCATCGCCAGAGAAATCCTATTAAACAACACAGAAATCATCGATAGATACAGCGATAGCAGGCGGCTTGACGTTTGCGAGGCACTACACATTAAAAAGTCAACACCAGCAATCAACAGCCAATTAATGCACAACTATATTCTACCCACCTCAAGACTCCGCTCCAATATAGAAGCATCAAGAAATATGGACCAATAGGCTTTCTACAATCACTTCCATTCAATACCCATTGTTTCGTGTTCTGTCTTGTGTTGATGAAATTAATACCCTATTAATGCCACCTCACCCCATCCACCTCACTCAAATGTAGATATAAACAAATCGGAGATGTGTAAGTTCTATTCAGTTGTGTATGTGTAAACTAAAGTCTTTGAAAATGTAATAAGTTTTACGAAACGCGCTCAAGTGTCGCGTCAGACTAGAAATAAAAATGAATTTTGGAGAATTGATTTTTGAATTACCACCAACAGTGAAAAGAAATGTCCGAAAGATTGAGAAAATTCGTGTTAGAATTATTAATCTTACTTTTTCGGTCATATTTAATAATATATGTCTACAGGAAAGACTGCTACCAAAATATACTAATAT